CATGGATCACTATAGAATGATGACTTTAATTCTTCAGAATAAATATCAGGGTCTGGGACAGTTGGGTCACATAGTAGTTCCATTCCTAGTTTTTTGATCAAACTGTATACAGATTTCCATAGTAGTTGTACTAATTTCAAATCCCACCAACAGTGTAAAAACATTCTTTTTCTCCCCATCTTCTCCAGAATTTATTATTATTTGTATGCTTGATGCTTGCCATTCTGAATAAAATCTCAGTGTAGGTTTTTTTTTCTTTTTTTTTGGTACCAGGGATTGAAGTCAGGGACACTCCACCACTGAGTCACTTCCCCAGCCCTATTTTGTATTTTATTTAGAGACAGGATCTCACTGAGTTGCTTAGTACCTCATCCTTTCTGAGGCTGGCTTTGAACTCACAATCCTCCTGGTTTAGCTTTCCAAGTCGGGCTTCTGGGATTACATGTGTGAGCCTCTGTGCCTGGTCTTCAGTGTAGTTTTGATTTACATTTCCTAATTGCTAATGATGTTGAACATTTTTTAACCTATTTGTTGTCCATTTCTATTTTTATCTGAGAAGGGTTTAGTTTATTTGCTCACTTATTAATTGGGTTATTTGATTTTTTGGCGTTAAGTATTTTTTAATTTTTTATTTATTTTAGATATTAATCCTCTGTCACAGAGTAGTGAGCAATTCTTTGCTGTGCAGAAGCTTTTTAATTTGGTGCCATCTTAGGGGAAAATATTATTTAGTTCTATCTATTATGTATCTATCATTGATCTGTCATCTTTCTATCAACTATTTCTCACTTTTCTATTAATCATCTATTGTGTGCAAACATAGCAGCAGGAGGTCACCTGTCAGTATCCGCAGGTTGCCCATGGGTGGGGCTGTTCTACTTGCACCAGACAGGTGAAATGCATCTAGGTTGGCAGCTTGGTAAGGTTGCCTGTGGTATATGTCATGCCCCTGCCAATCTCTAGGGCCTGTGTGTGGGTTGGGGTCATCTAATGTGCCTAGATAATGCATCACAGTCTGTGCAGCCTGTTCCTTTCAGTCTCCATGGGAAGCACAGTGGGTGGGGGGCATAGCAGCAGCTCAGCAGAGCTGGTACATCAATGAATCTGGAAAAAATTGAAAATCAAATTAAATACTAGACATTCAAAATAGTAGAGGCTTTCCATACAAGACCTTTCATTCAGCAATACTATAGATACTCCAATACTTTCTGTGGGTCTGAAAATTTGTATTCATGATCAGTACAATCCAGCTTTTACCTTAAGTGCTTGAGAAGAACCATGCTCATGTTAGCATATAAAAAGTATATCCATGTAGTGGGTTATGTTGCATTTTTACTTAAAACAGTAAACAACATCCCACAACATGTTAGGATATCATTAAACTACATAGACATGCTCAGATGAAAAAACAAATGTCCTTCCATTGAAATCAAGGTCCTACCAGTACCTGTTAAAATTTAAGTTGTTACCCTGAATCCATTTGCTGAGGTTTATTTTTTTTGTACGTTAGTTTATTCCAGCTATTTTCTAAGGTTCATAATTCGGAATATTCTAGATATAAAACTAAATCCATAGTGTATATAATTTTGAATTCACAGAATAGGTATCCGTGGTGGTTTATGTTAGCAACAAAAGCAGTATATTTGAAGAAGTTAATGTAATAGAACAGGTCACAAAATTTGTGTTTTCTAATATCTAATCAATATRAACAAAAGGATGAAAATAAACCATAATAGGATAAAGGAATTGATCCCTGTACAGTGTTTGCATGTAGTTGAAATATGACACTGAACCCCATTAATGTTTACAATGAATGCATATAAATAAAAACATCACCCGAAACTATCAAAGAGAGAGAAAATCTCTTGCTATAAACTTAAAAATATGTCATCTAAGAAAATAAACAATAGATTCTGTCACGGAGAGGCACAAACAGAGAGGCCTCCAACCTTCCTCTAGGAGCCTCTTTTAACCTAACCTCTAGAAAGTGGGTATGTGAGGTGACAAAAATCTAGAGAGTTTTTTTTTCCTAATTTGAATGAAGTTGACTAAATGTATACTCTTTCCTTTCATTTTCCTATTACAAAAGAATTGAGATTGCAGTGGGTATAACTGAAACCTAAAAGATAAAGGAGGGAAATGAAATTACACTTTAATGGAAGCACAGTCTCTGGGACTGAGGAAGAAGGTCAGTGCCTCACAATGCTGATGGCCACAGGAAGTTTCTTTTTTCTTTTCTTTTTTTTTGGGGGGGCAGTTGTTACTGGGGATTGAACTCAGGGGCACTCAACCACTGAGCCACATCCCCAGCCCTATTTTATATTTTATTAGAGACAGGGTCTGATTGAATTGCTTAGTGTCTGTCTTTTGCTGAGGCTGGCTTTGAACTTGCAGTCCTGTCTCAGCCTCCTGAGCCACTG